TCAAAGAACACGTCATATCGCGAATTCTAAACGCTATTGTTGTTATTTTATTTACTTTGATTTCTGGTGTGTACACATTTCGTTCCGTGTCCCGCCAAAAAACCTAAGGTTAGAAATGGCATCATAACATTTTCCATTGACCAATTAATTAAAAAAAAAAAAAAAAAAAAAAAAACATAAACACAAAGAGATTTTACATAGATAAAGGCATTCATAAGGTGTGGGCTGTACTCATGAGAACAATTTTTTGTATTTCTTTAAGGTATGGACTTCCATGAATCCCTTCAATTAGTCTACTGGAATCTTTTTCAACCAATCGATGGGATCCAACTACAACAGGGATCCATGTTCCCATGTGCCACATTTTTGAGATTTTGATTTCAAGGTCCTTGTATTTTGATAGCTTTTTGAATATCTTCAAAGATACATTGCAGTTCGCATGAACTGCCATATCCATAAGTAGACAGCACTTTTATTTTGTCTGCGGTCTCTAATAACAATGCCTGGGCGGTCAGATTTGATTGTTTTTTTTTCTGTGTGTATTGTGCAGTCCCATAAAATTGTAACAGGTCCTTTCTCCGTAACCGGGCCTGAGTAATATTATTATTATTATTATTATTATTATTATTATTATTATTATTATATATTTTAATAATTTGAAAATAATTTGACATATTTCAGGCAAAGTTGGTTAGATCTTACAAAACAGTTTTAGCAAGGGAATATGCGAGACGAATTTTCTATTAATACTACCCTAATATTACAGAAATGTGGTTTTACAAAAGGATGTTAAGAAAACCATAGACAGAACATGTGAGTAACAACAAAGTTCTTCTGAAAGCGATAACAAAAAGAACACTTATAAATTCTTTACAGTGATATTCACTCTGTATAAGGCAAATAGCCACTCGAGTTAGAGGGTTAAAAGCCAGGCTTATGAGGCCATGTTTGGAATAGAATAGTTAACGCTAGGTTTGATTAGGTTAAGATTGTAGTGATCGGAGAAAATGCTAGGAAATTTGTCCCGGCTTTCCCGCATCAAAGGGTTGAGATTAGAAATAGGGTTGAGGTTTAAAAATTTGCGAAAAAACCTGAGTAAAACAGCAGGATTAGAGCGCACAAACTTTTAGGCGCGTACGAATAAAGAAAAGAAAAACTTCCTGCTTGGTGAGTAACAACAAAAGAAGAAAGTGTTTATTTACAACATATACAGAAAAAAAAGGTAAAGGGATAAAAGGACGATTAGTAGAGAAAGAAAGAGAAAAGAGAAAATGTTCTTAACTTAAAAAGGCTTGCTCAAAATATTTCTCTGGGCCCCTAAAGAGTTCTTTAAGCGATTAGAATATTGTTAAAGTTCAGATAGAAACACTCAGAGTTCTTGTTGAGTTGGAAATTTATTCGCAGATAAAGGAATCCTGCAGCTAAGTGAGTTTTTAGGTCGACGATAGAAGTCCAGTGGGCTCGTCAGGAGTAGTAGTGAAGAGATGCAGCTTTGGATTGGTCTTGAATAGTGGACCGACGTTCGTTTTTGACAGCCCTTTAGTAGTTCTTCTTTGTTGAAAGAGGTGCTCGGGTTCTCTAAGGTCAACCTCACAGACGGTGGACAGAAATCCCACTGGCAATATAGGCGTAGATTCTCCAAATTTATGGAGTTTTGGTAGGCTCCGATGGATCGGGGACTTTTCCCTCCAAAATCGTTGTACAAATTTCCTGTCCCTTTCTATTGGTCAGAAAACACATTCTTATCTCTGATAAGAATCAGGGCCCTGGGAGCCAGTTTCGAAGGTACTGAAAACAGGTTGAAGTGAAGAAGCTGTGAGGTTTCTCCCAGACTTTATGGCACCATGGAAAGAATAATGGTGGTGGAATTCCTATTTATTTTCCAGCTCTCTCGTTAGTCAGAAAATATATTCTTATCTCTGATAAGAATCAAGGCCTTAGGAGCCGGTTTTGAAATTAAAAAGAGGTTGGAGTGAGGATATAAAAATTAGCGGGAATGTGTCCTTGTCAAATTGTTGTTCTCAAATTAAATTTCAACAAAACATCCTATTGGAAGTCAGTTCCGCAAAACAGTTGTTCGCAGGAAGAAGCTGCACAGACGTTAAATCTTACTATTGGAATACGAAGGGAATAAGCGTATTTCGCGAGGGGGTGGTATGTCCGATCTTTATGTCCTAAAGGTTAGAATTAGAAATGACAATAGAGCAACCAGAGGTTTGCGACGTTTCAGATGCGAAAAAGGGATTGTATGATAGAAAGTAATTCATCACTCACAAGGACGCGGATACGATTTGGACTCTATCGAGATCAGAAAGTGGAGAGTAAGCATCTCCTGCTGATCTATGGCAACATTAATCCATTTTCGGCCTGATGTGGCTCTCGTCAAGTTAAAGGTTAGCACGTGACAGGTACTTACTGAAAATGTACAAGTAACTGACCAATTTTCTTGCATCTTTAGCGAGATATTTTATGTACTGGTTTATCCTGAGGGTTGGGTCTGTGTTTAAGAACATAATGTGCTCGAGTCACGAGGCAACCCCTAGGGGAACACCCCATTCATCGCGATCATTAAATTCAGGTTCTGAACATCAGAAAAAACAGTTAAACATTCCCATAACGAAGAAAGAGGACTCAGGAAACATAACTGTCGTAGGACATATTTAAGAAAACAGGGGGAAAGGAAACCACCGTATAACCTGCCTAATGAATAAATGGTTTGGAGAACAGGGTTTATGAGAGATATTAAAAAGACAAAATTTACTCAGGTGAGCCATGATCGGGAAGATCCTGAATGGATATTGCGCATAGAATAGGGCCTCTACTTCACATCTCGCAAGTTATTCCGATCAGGAGATAATTTACGGAACATTCCCAGAAAAGTAAGGATGAACTCATTAGTGATGTAGTCTTGTGTATACGGTTACGTAATAATTGGCTGGGCATTCAATGTATGGATTCAGTAAATATATGGAGACAAAGTATGACAACACGAAGACCTGACGGTGACGATGGATAATCGTGAAAACTGGAGAAGAAGTCTAGTTAGGATTCATGCAAACCACGCCCTGACGACGACGATGATGATATGGATGATGAGGAAGAGGAGCAGGTTGAGGATACAAAGTAAAATACACACACGCACTTACACACACTCACACACACACACACACACACCTTTTTGCACACACACACACACACACACACACATATATATATATATATAAATATATATTTGGTTGGATTGATGTGAGTTTGTAACCCTGGGTTTCACCCTTTTGCGATCGTCAGAGTTTGTCTGACGACCGCTAAAGCGTGAAACCCAGGGTCCAAACTCACATCAATCCAACCAAATATGTTAGTTCTATCTCTAATATTGAGCGCTTTCTAATAAGTACCATGCATATAATATATAAATAATTATATATATATATATATATATATATATATATATATATATATATTTATTTATATTTATACACACACACTTTTCACACACACACACACACACACACACACACACACACACACACACACACACACACATATATATATATATATATATATATTATACATATATATTATACAGTAGGAACTAAGATTACATTAGGTTAATGAATATTTTTTACCTTGTAAATTGAAATAAAATTTACAAGCATTTTTCTAGCCAGTCAATGGATGATAAATTATTTTAATAATTTATAATCCATTGACTTGTTTGAAAAATCCTTGTAAATATTATTTCAATTTACAAGGTGAAAATGATCATTAACCTAATTTAATCTTAATTCCTATTGTATAAAATATGTTTCTCTGTTTAATTTAAACATTGAGCTCTATGTGTGAGTCAGTTTTAATATTTAATATAATATATTTTATCAATAGGACTCAGTTGGATTATATACCAACGGATTATCTATCTCTATATATCTCTCTCTGTGTCTATATATATATATATATATATATATATATATATATATATATATATATATATATATAGGGAGGAGAGAGAGAGAGAGAGATAGTAATGGGAAGATAGATAATAGGGTAGATAGATAGATCGTTGAAGACAGTGCAACAGACAAGATAATGCACGCGTTAAACTTTAACAAAACCAGATAGAAAGGGAATTATCTCCTTCAAATAAACTTAAGAAAACCGGATAATTTCTTTTCGAGGAAAGAAGAAAATGTTTAGTGGTGTAGGAGTGTTAGTTAATACAAAGACTACAGGTAACGTAATAAGTTCCGACGGTTGTATAGCATGGAAAATAATTAGATAATGCAAACGAAACGCTAATGGTTTTTCCAGCATCTGTAACGACTTCCAAACCGAGGAAGGGAATGAGAAGTTTTGAGAAGACATCAGTATGACAAATAGACAATAAGAAAAATAATGATTCTTTTTAGTGGGCGACTTCACAGCAAAAGTCGGAAAAATAAAAATTCAAAAGAAGAAAGTAGAACGAAAGGCGGAAAAGTGAATATTTCAAAGAGTTATAAAATGGAAAATTATGAAAATAATTTTTCAAAAGCGAAGGGGACGTCTTTGGACTCGGTAAGACCAAAGGAGGAATCAAAAATTATATTGACTTCATAATTGCTGACAAAGCGCCTACCGTTAAAGATGCAATCGTCATAAAGACACAAAAAGGTAATATTGCAAGCGATCATAAAAAGGTCACTTGCTGAGTTAAATTTAACTTCGAAATTGAGAGAAAGAAAATAATTCTCAAAAGAAAATCAATAAGATCAAAGGGAACGTTATAGAATTTCAGTAAAAAAAAATGAGGAAAATAATGCAGTATTTGAGGAATAAAGAAAATAACAGAAAATTCGAACAGCAAATTGGCAATCATAATTAAGAAAGAACGCAAGAAGAAACAATAATACAAAGAAATATTAAAAAATAAAAAAAAGATCTAACAGAACCAACACAGAAGAGAATATGAGCATAAAAATGTCGAGAGATAAAAAGAAATGGTGGAATTAATTTAATTAAACAATGAGGAAATAATAAACGAACATGAATATAGATAGATAGAAATATTTATGAGAATAATCATAACCAATGCAAAAAGATTTGACAATGTACGACATAAAGTTCTATTTTAAATGAAGAGAAATCCAGAATATATGCTAGAACCAAACACCCGGATTGAAAATGAATTGCAGCAGAATTAGACCAGGATTAGTACAGCTTTTGTTTAAGACACTGGAAGAATAAAATACTGTATTTATGTTTGTAATGGTATGAGAACGAGTAATAAAATTGTAGAAAGACATTAATTACATAATGCCATTTGATAGATCAATGCACTTGATCTATGAAAAGACTTCGATTTACAGGAAATTACATTCGACAAATCTGCAACGTTTAGTAGAAACAGCCATCCTGCAAGCCAATGGTGAATAAACAAAAATAAAATTAAGACGTGTACGTAATTTCTCCTTTATCCCAAAAAACTCGATGACATAACTGAAATTATTCTTGGCGAACATCATTTTAATGAGATACGATAACACTGCGTTGCTGGCAAACTCAGAATGAAAATTAAAATAAATCGTGCAAAATGAGGTAAAGGAAAGAAAGCAGAAAATAACATTAACGGCAAGAATTGAAGAATGTGCTATTATCAGTAAAAAATATAATCCAATACTAATGGTAATATTAAATTTATTCTATAATAAAAAAAATATAATCCAATGTTTGAGCTAAGTATTGTTAATACTAATTGTAATATTAAATTTATTCCTATAATAAAAAAAATATAATCCAATGTTTGAGCTAAGTATTGTTAATACTAATGGTAATATTAAATTTATTCCTATAATAAAAAATATATAATGCTATGTTTGAGCTAAGTATTGTTAATACTAATGGTAATATTAAATTTATTCCTATAATAAAATATTTAGCATTCATTGACCGAACAGCTAATGCTGTTTTCGGTTAAAACTCATCAGATCTTAATTTTGAAATTCTTTTTTAGTAAAACTGTTTTCTCATGTACAGTAGCTGTTATCTCACTTTCCATTAGTGATGTGAATTACATTCCGAACCTTCCATTTCATTTGGTGTGAAATGTTAACATCTTGATTATATCAGGTTATCCCATAACTTCTGTCCGAATTTTGAATAAAGAAAACAAGTGACCAAATGTTGCATTTAATTACAGATTCAATTAACAATATATTTTCACTGATTATCTATGACTTCCTTCCATTTATTAGCAAGCTTACTAATTCCATTACTGTAAAATTCTTTTGGCTTTGATTCGAAGAACTCACAAATGTCAGTTTTAACCTCTTCCTGTGTTACAAAAGCTGTTTCTTCCAAATGATTATGTAAGCTATGAAACAAATGGTAGTCTGAAGGAGCAAGATCTGGAGAATAAGATGGATGAGGAAGTTTCTCCCAACCTTTTGTGACGTGATTCTTGCTGTGTCGGGTCGCGCATTGTCCTGATGAAACATCACCCCTTTTCGATTCACTAGAGCAGGTCTTTTTTTCCTCAAATCTTGGTTCAAACGCTCTAATTGCTGACAGTATATTTGAGCATAAATTGCTGCATTAGGTGGTAAGAATTCAAAGTGGATTATTCCTTGGCGATCCAACAAGATTGAAAGAAGAACCTTTTGCCCATGAAGTTCCCTTCTCGGCTGTGGCTGGGGTCCTTCCTCTTTACCAAGCCACTGTCTACGACGCTTAACATTTCGATAAAATATCCATTTTTCGTCGCCAGTCACAAGTCTATCCAAAAAAGGTGAAACAAGTTGGCGAGAATGGAGAGAAGAGCAGATGTCAACTCGGGATTTGAGGTTGTTTTAAGACAATTTATGAGGCACCCATTTTCCAAGATTAGGAACTTTTCCAAGATTAGGAACTTTTCCAAGTTGTTGAAGATGACGATGAACAGTTGTATGGTTTGATATGAGAACCACTGCCAATTCCTCAACTGATAAAGCAGGATTTTCTTCAAGGGCTGCTTCAAGAAGCTTTTCATCAAACTCAACTGGACGTTCGGTTCGATCTTCATCTTCAAGGGTGAAATCTCCACCTCTGAATTTTGCAAACCATCTTCTGTAAGTTCTTTCATTCACACATTCTTCTCCATAAACTGAGTGAATGTTTCTAGCCGCTTCGGCTGCTGAGTTTCCTTTCTTGAACTCATAAAGCATTATGTGCCTCAAATGATTTCTTGGGTACTTCCATGTTAGCAGGGTTTTAATCAAACAGAATTTAATTTTATTGTTCTCTGAAATAAAAATTTGATAGGTTTAAATGCATTTAAACATAAAAATAATATTCAGCATCCATTAGAAATTATAAAACACTTTTAAAATTTCGTTCAGTTTAAAAAAAAAAGTAAAATTTGAACAGAACTTATGGGATGACCTGATAGATAGATAGAAATATTTATTAGAAATGAGAATATTCTGAAATATTACACAGTCACAGAAAAGATAAACCACAAATGATTGAAGGACAACGATAGGAATATTTACAAAACTAACCTGGCCCTTCGTCTCGAAAAGGACCTCCAATCGGTTGTGAAATGGGTCAGGAATTGGCTGGTTAACTTTAACGCCTCAAAAACGAAACTGCTCTCTATTAATCACCAGAGAGAACCATCCCTGCCCCCATTAGAATATCTGACGCTCAACTTCTCGAGAGCCCCTCTTTGCGGCTGCTCGGTCTCACATTGACTGCTGACCTGAGATGCAACTAATACATTGAGCCAATAGCTTCGTCCACCACAAGGAAAGCTGGCTCCCTGTGCCGCGCCAGGAAATTTTTCTCCCCGGAATCGATCCTTCGAATCTACAAATCAACCCTTCGCCCTTGCATGGAGTATTGCAGCCATATTTGGTCTGGTGCCCCTTCTGTTTGGGGTTCTTGATAAGATCCAGAGACGGATATGCAATATAATTGGCCCTGATCTGGCATCTCGTCTGTAGTCGCTCTCTTGCAGACGTGCTGTCGCCTCTCTCTGTCATTTTTACAAATACTTTCATGGTAATTGTTCCGAGGAGCTGCTTTCGCTGGTTCTCAGACTTCATGAATTCAAACGTCCTACGAGACTGGCATCACACTCTCACCCTTTCACTGTCGAAACTGTTAAATGTAGCCGTCTCTTCTACTTCAAAAGCTTCATATCTCGCAGCTCTCGCCTGTGGAACTCCATTTACTGTTTCTCCAATAGCTATAATCTCCAACTATTCAAATGTAATGGCAATCGACATCTCCAGTTACCTTGATCTATCCACTATCCTTCTCCTCGTTTTTTTCCTCTATCACTGCTATCTGCTCTCGCTCCAAATCCTCTGTAACCCCTTGCGTGCTAGTGGCTTCCCCGCTTGCTTGGGATTGAATGCTTAAAAAAATAATTATGAAATATTTCAAGAAGATCTTAATGAGCAACTAGGAGTAGAATTTTAATATCAATTGTGAAAATAGCCATATTCGACATTTACCGATTTTAGTAAATGTCATTTGAAAATTATGAAATCTTTCTATTAAAAGAGTTTTGTTTTTTTCTTGACGACCATCTCAAATTCCCTGTAATAGCTCTTTCCAATATTAATGGTTCTTTCCTTCTTTACTTTTTCTTTTTGCCTCTATAGAAAGTAAACATTTTGATCCTGTTATTAGTTTTACTTCTTTCGGTGCTGATGCAGTTGGAAGTCTTCATTTAATGTGTTTCTTATTTCGTTAAATATTTTCGTTTGCGATTCTGTAGTATCACTGGGACGGATGAAGGTTTGTTTTCTTTCAGTTATGTCGTGTATAATTCCTCACAAGTAAGCAATATAGTCAAGGGAAGATAACTACATCTCGAGTGTAGATCTCTTCCCTCTTATATAGCATCCATTTGAATATCATCACAAAGACCTAAAGTGTTTATTCACTTAAATGCATTTTAACCATTGATCTGAGGAAAGACTAGTATACACCGAAGAGTTTAGATATTTCTGAAAGAATTGGACGCCATATGAGACGTTAGATCTGACAATGCTATTTAAGAATACGTTGAATTCTCATGTTATATAGGGATTTTGTATCATCTAATGGCGTTCGACGAAAGAACACCTAGCCAAAACCAATGTAAAATTTTCTTATCGCCTATACCAAATTTTGTAAGAGGGTTCTATGCACCGAATAAATATTCGGTGTATTTGATTAGAATTTCATAATTCCAAATACTGAATATTTATGATTGACTTAAGGTATGTGCCATAATACTTTCATTCCAGTTCCAAGAACGCTAATCTACAAATATGCCATTCATAGTCGTTCCAGCAGATCCCAGTGATATGCCATATGAAACAATTTAGAAAATACATTTTCAGCCTTAAAATTTGTAAAAAAGTATGCTATAGTAAGAGATCATTTGCACGATGGAGAAGACGATTTCCACAACAGATTAACAGAGTTATTTAGTTTTCGATATAAATGAATGTTCCCATTATTTACAGTCGGGGTAATATAATCTTTGTTGCTATTATTAAAATGTTTCAGCTGTTGAGACCTTCGTTACGTGTCACTTGATTTGGGCAACATTCAGAGAACATTTTTGTTTAATTTACCTAGTGTTCTGATCCACTAACCTTGTAGAGGGAACAAGACAAGATATCCTTAGACATTGACAACTGAAGCGATTTAATCTATCTCCGTAGTTTTTTTTTCTATAGGGTTCCATTCGAAATTACTGGTGGTTTAAACGGATCAACAGGCAACGTCCGAAACCTTGTCCTAATAACAACAAAGATGGGCCATTAATCCGACTATACATAATGTAAATAGTAATAATTTTAGTTCTGCGTGAACTTCTAGGATGAGGTGGTATCATTATTTGCTCTATTTATATATGGACTATTGTCCTCGTCTTTGTTGTTGTTATCACAACTTTTCGATTTGCCTTAAACAGGTGTATATCGATCTGGATAATCTACAAGGGATTCTGAACTGAAACCTTTATTTAGTTTAAGAGATCATCCTGTTATAGTTCCACTGCCCATGTGTATGGAAATCTTGTTTAGTTCTTATTTTTATTTAGTAGTG